TCTTCAGGACAGAAGTCTCATCCATAAATCCCTCGAACCCCACGTGCGTACGCTTCTCGACGAATCTCTGAGGGCAGCCATGCGCTTTCACTATACCGTTTCTGTTGACCTTTCACACTTTAGTTGCTTTGGTACCCAGTTGTTTCGTGGTGGAATGGTCCACTTGCTTGGTCTGTGACCTCCATGCTTCTTGTTTAGCTCTCCGCTCTCACATATGTTTGGCCTCCTTGGCAGTATCCCAGCTCGAACTCCCTGCGCTTTGTCCCCCTGTTGACAAACTCCTTATCTGTTTCTTGCCACCGTCTCAATCACCGGCTCCAGGGGGCTGTTGCTAGTCTCTCGTGTCACTGGGGTGCACATCGTTCGCAATACTTCCTGTGGCCACTTAGCGATTCCGTCGTGAAACGAACTGCGCTCCGGTTGTTTCAATGTATACAGCTGGTACACATGGTACGTTGGTGAATGGGCTAGCAGGTGCCTACACTGCAAAAGTCAAGCGGCCACTTAATGCACTTCTGTCATGGTGCACGTGGCGTCTACAATCTCCTAGCTTTCTTCTGGCCGGTGGGTATTACAGGCTAGCTACGAACCAATCGTACGTCTCTTCCGCATTTCTCCCGCCGGCTCGTGGCCTTACTGATCAGAAGCCTGTCTTATGATCCCGAGGTCGCGGGTTCGAGCCTACGTGAGGCACTGGGCGACCCTCGCCGTATCCTTAGCCCGCACGCCACTGGTGGTGCTTGCGTGGCATCGAGCATCGGTTCTGCGTACCGGCGTACTGCTGATGCCGCATTTCCCTCGGTCTTGTTTCAAACTTTCACGGCACATCTGTTTATGTGGCGTAAGGCATTCTCGATCTGCAGATATTGGAATCTGGTAGCTACAATGGCGAGCCCGCCTGAGATCGGAGCTCACTCACTTTCTCCAGCCGTTTCTCAATCTTGCCTACGGTGTTGGCTGGTTAAAGCCACACCCGGATTAACGTGCTGCCCTCTGGGAATGAGATAGTCCATTCCCACTGTACAGCGTCGTAATTCACTGTTCCTCTTTGGTATTCTTCATTTGCATTTTCTTGTGTCCCACCTGGGCCGTCCGTTCTTTTCACTATTTTAAGCCTGCTTTCTACCCGCTGCTGTTCGAGCGCATCCACTTCACGCGTCACGTAGTCCGTACCAGTCCTAACCTGTCCATTCGTTCCACACAATCTTTGTCAACTGATTGCTTCATCGTTTATCCTGTGGAATACAATTTAAGTTTCCATATGTCTGCGTTTTAGTTGCGATTTATAAAAACTTCATGGACCTTCTTGTTCAACTTACTTATCTTCATACCTGCATCAGTGACGGTGGGCACATATAGCAAAAGCCTTCTCAAATATGCGACCTCTGTGGCATTAGAAAGGGTTCCTTTCGCTCTTTAAAGGCTTGTTCACAAGACCACAGTGAGGGCCGTCCTATTCTATGGACGTGAGATTTGACTTCTTCCGTCTGAGGATCTACGGTTTCAGAACTTTGCTCATCACTGCCTACCAATCATCGGTGCTGTTGGATTGTACCAGCGTGTCCGCAACAATGATATATGCAAGCGAGTGCTAGGCAATGATACCCAATCTAATTCATCGGAACAGCAGATAGCACTGAATAAGTTGTGTTGGCTTGGACACATGTTACATATGCCTGATCACAGCTTACGGAGTACAGCCTTGTTTTGTTTATCAGATGTTTGTATTGTATTGTAATCTCAACAGTCTATCAACTAGACACAGAGCCAACATAAAACCATGGAGATCAACGGATAAGCAAGAGTCGTCACGTCATAATCATCGTGGCATGCTAGTTGAAGGTGAGCAACACACTTCAGCTAATATGCCGCAGGGAGAATGGAACATTTTGACAAGCAGTAGAACAAAACATTTTTTGTGTTTTTCGCACCCCGATTTTACTCTTTTTTGTCATCTTTAATGTTTGTTGTATTAAACATGAGAATCAATACAATACTGTACACAATTCTTCCACTGATTCCGGTTGCGGGCCATGTTTTCAAGAGTGCTAAGCCATTGGCACTCCTCATCTTTGGTCCCCATCCTATAAGACGTACGGATCCAACAGCGGCTAGACACTACGTCAGCGATTTCATGTGCTGCCGCCAAGTGGAAGGCTGACCACCACGCGGTCGCCTCTAGCCAGGTCCTTGACAAGCGAATAGAGCGCGTCGCGGCAGACGCTCAGGTGCCATGCGTAGGACGTGAACGAGCCATCTTAACCGGCGTAAAAAAACCCAGTTTATTGAAGGGAATACTCGCATTCCCCAAGATGCGATGTCGAACCCGATGTTGCCATCAAACACGAGCGATCCTCCTTATGCAGCCGTTATCGAACGCAGAAAGACGACGCATGTCTTCCACGCGAATCGGCCAGAACTCGTTCCCATACAACAATACTGAGCTAACTAATGCCCTGTAAACGCATCCATTCAGCGAGTATGAGACGTTGCGACGACGACACAAGTGGCTCAGATTGACAAATGCTGATCGAGCTTTAGCGATGCGAATAGAAACTTCTTCGTTGATAGTGCCGTCAGCAGAAACACAGATCCCAATGTAGACAAAACTATCTACTTGCTCAAGTTGTGCACCTTCGAGAATGAGCACTGGAGCAGGTGAAAGCCAATCCTTGAGCAGTACTTCACACTTCGATGGGACCGAATGAGTTGGAAAAGCCTGCGAGTGTTGCCAGAGAGGGCAGCGGTCTCCATCCCTAAAGCACGCTCAGACCACCATGTCTCGCGATCCTTGCGTAGGCTTTGTTTGAGCAACCGGTTGACAGAACAGCGCCGCTCGTTGCAATCTGATTCTGCCGGGATATCTTTGCGGCGTTCGAACAGCTCCAGAGAACGAGCAGAGATCCGAGCCTTCAAAGGGCGTCGAGTTAGGCCGCAGCATGACTGTCCGGAAATGGTCATCGCCTTCCGCATACAAGTCCACTGTTGCTCCACTTCTTGCGGTAGATTGCAACTGAGTGCATATGCCAGTGAAGAGTGATAGCTCGCCTAGACAGAGGAATCAGGTAATCTGTTTAAATCAATCTTGCGGTGCTTCCTGTTTCGGGATCCTCCAAAACACATACAGATTTTCGCGCAGACCAGTGCATAATCTGAGTGAACGAAGGTGGACCAAAAGGACCTGCAGTCCAGTACGCTGCCGCGCCATTTGAAGCTAATTGCATGTGATCAATTTGAAACCACAGTTGTGTTGAAGAAGGGGGACGCCACGTTACGGAACGGTTCTTCGTACGCCTGAAGTTAGTGCTCGAAAGAAACAGACGGTTGTCTTCGCACAATGGGAGATGTCTCTCTCCGTTACCAGAGCGGTTCTCTTCGAGCGCGTGTTGACCACCAAGGTGGCGTTCGTATGGTAACAGGCGGCCAACCCATGCATTAAAATCCCCAGCAAGGACAACGGCATCCGACATTTCAACATTAGTCAAGAGCTGTTGTAGATCCCGGTAGAATTCGTTCTTGACCGAGTCGTCACTGCAGTCATTTGGAACGTACACGGAGATCACCAACAAGTTTTGTCTCTCTTCGCGGTGCCTGACGATTCTACATGAACCCCGAATCCGAACTGCACATAGTCGGCTGTTTATCGGGAAACAGTAGAGTAGTGTCGCCTCGACCTTGTCACTTAGTGTTATACCTGCGCTAGCCAAACCCGCTGAGCTAACTACTGCATTTCCAGAAAGACGCAGGTGATATCTGGCTTCGTGATCAGTGGGGGATGTCAATGTAAGCACAGTGCTGGGATCTTGCAATCGGGTTTCTGAAAAGTAGCAGACATCAATGTCTAGGGAATCTAGGGTGCGCGCTAGACCGGCTTGCTGTCCAATCCCAATGAGTGTTCGAACGTTGAAGCACGCTAGACGGAACGAGGATGGGGGACGAAGGCGAGCCATAGGTTGAACTCCTTGGTCTGCGTCGCAATCGGAATCGCAGCCAGATTGTTGAACACATGAATCGGGTAACGGAAAGTGAGGATTGTTAACAAACAAACAATCGGCGTGTGATGAAGTCGCGTGAAAGTGACTAGAAGAAACAGTAGCTGATGAGCACGTTGTAGTACAGTTCATGGTCTTGTGAGAGGGTGTGATACTACTCGGTTGCCCAAGCCGAAGTAGGAACTTGAGTTAGTGGACTCCACCCAGTGTGTTTGGCTAAATAACCTATCCGCAAGGCAGTGGGGCGAATTCAGGGAATCGCGCCCAGTGGGAGGCATTTACTGAATGTTCAGTTCATGCGTCCTTGTTTGGTAGATTACCAAACAGGGGCCCAATACTCCCCATGAAGTCAGCACACCTGCTGGAATACAATGTCCCACTGAGGTGGAACATTGTCGCCGAACACTTTGCTGGAACGGGGTACACCCGAACCACCCAGCTGGCACCACGAGTAGGTAGTTCGGCAAGCCAGCCATCGGATGTTTATTGGTGCAAAACTCGAGGTGAGTGAAAGTTTATTTGGCATCGAGGAATCGTGCCACCGCCTAGGCTGGGATTCACGTGACCCGTCTCGTGTATGGCTCGAGACTTGACAAGACATGGCTCTCAGTCCGCACCAGTGTTATCTTTGCTGTCGTCTCGTAGTCGGACGGCCTGTTTACAGTGTGTTTGTTGCTGATTTACCTGCGCGGTAATGGCTGATTATGACACTGGGCAGTGAAAGCCACAAGGAAGTTGTGTCACTTTTGCCGCGTTATAGTTGCACGACAGGCAGTTTGTGACGATATGTTGTTGACAAGTCGTAGGCGCCTTGTCCCCGAATGTTTGCTTCGGCCATTAAGGTTTTACGCTAGGTTCACCTTAACTCCCTCTTATTGTTCTTCGTTCCGTAGGTCATTATGGTTGTGTGGCAGTTAAGCATCAGTTCAAATGTCTTTTGTGCTGCTGTAGATGAGTTGTTTCGTATTCATAACAATCACTTCAACATGCGCCTTTTTTCCAATCCAGGTCGAGGCGGGCACCCATCAACTTGATTCGGCCGTCAGCCACCGCAAATCCGTGCGACGTCGGAAATGCATTTGCATTATCATCACTGTCGTGATCCTAATTCTGATTGCCCTGGCGATTGGACTCTCGGTCCGATAAATCGTGTCACTACTGTTCTCCCGTGAAATCCACTGCGCTTTCCAGCACCCCTGCTGCTCTCTTTCACTCATCTCTCACTGTCCATTTCATACCGTGCTCTCCTGAAATATTTCCTGTCACATTTCCAGGTGTTCTTTCCTCGTTCTGCTTTCGTTTTATTTTGTAATTCATAATTTCTGCCTGATTCAATTAACAATTTCACACAGGTTTGGCTGTATGCCGTGTTCACCGTGTGTTGGGGCTATTTTCCAGACATCTTTTGATTACTTTTTCTCTGAATATGACCCCCATGATATCTTTAGATTACTGGAAGCCTTTGCTTCTCGTTTTATCTAAAGCATCTGTCTACTGAAACTGGACTGGATGTTTCCTTCCACGAGTGAGCACGAATTCTATGTGCTCACTATATTTCCCAGTCACTATCTGATCGATCAGCAATAGACAAGTGTAATTTGCTATCATCGATGCAAATGGTTCGTCATTTTGTGACTTCCGAATATTGCGCTCTATGCAGCCACTTATATGAGTGGGGGAACCTCTGACTTTCTCCAAATCCGACAGTTCGATCAGAGTTTTCACCAAATTTGCAACCGTAGCCAAACATGGCCTTGCAATTTTCTTAACTTCTAACTGATCACATACGATTCGCCTAATCCAACCGAAATTCGCCACTTTGTTCTGATTGTTTTGTTATGCTCATCTGTTACTTGTTTTCTTGTGATTTATCTGCTGTTATTATTTTTGGGCATCTACCGATGAGTTTTTTTCCTACACGAGTACATTTTGTTTACAAATAGTCGCGTGGAAACATCCTGAATTTTCCGAGAACACTGGAATCTCGCACCAATGGAAGACATGATCCGCAGTGATATGCGATTTTGGAGTCTTCTAGATCATGAATTTAAATTTCCCGTACGCATTTGTACGTTGGTCCTTGACAGGTTGTTTTGGATGTATACCTTTCGTCTCAATGTCTCAGTGCCGACATGTTATTCCGACAACTCTTTTCGGAACTAATACCTATCCAACACCATTTATGTGACAGAAATGAGATAGGGTGTTGCCAGTAGTAACAAGTGAGCTGCTTACAAACATGCAAACCAAATGTTTCTATCTCGTCGGGTTTTGTTTACTTTCAGCCTTTCATTTCAGCTATGCAGTGCGTTCTATGCCTCGAATGCCCGCCTCTGATTGGTCCTTTGGCTCCCTGTAACCGTATAAAAGAGATGATCTTGACCATGGTATCCACTTGATAATGAAAATCGATTGGGAGCTGTGTTTCCTCAGTTGATATCTTGATCATGGCTCAAAGACGCTGATGTGTCAATGACCGAAATCATTTTTGTTACGTCTGTGAACAATGCAGACCCATTTCTTCACTACTCTAGTCTGCCAACCACACACATTTCGGTGTGAAGCTGGAAGATCAGGATAAGATGTGGGCGCCACCTATTGTTTGTGTGTCGTGTAATCTTCTTCTGAGTCAGTGGCTCAGGTGCAAAGACAAGATGTCCTTTGCAATCCTCATGGTGTGGAGGGAACCGGAGGATCACACGACAGACTGTTACTTCTGTCTAACTACTTTCATTGGATTCTCCAACCAAAACAAGGACAGAATTCGTTACCCCGATCTTACCTCAGCTATTCGACCTGTTCCACACGATTACACCTTACCCATTGCAGTGTCTCTAGTGAACATGTCACTGAAGACGAGTATTAATTCTGCATCTGATATCTGCAAATGATGTCAACCAACATCGTATTGGACAATCACAGCTGAATGACTTGGTACGTGACCTGGGCTTGCCTAAAGACAAGGCCGAGTTGCTGGCATCTCGGCTGCAACAGTGGCACTTAATTGCTGTATACAGAAAGTGTTAACTTGTCCGGTTTCTATAACACGTGGGAACCCTATTCCGACAGGGAAGGACTGAGGAATGGGCTTGGCGTGAGGCATATCAGTGATGGATGACGTTTGTGCATTCATTCGTCTAACCGTAGTCTTAAGACCATGCTGCTCCACAATGGAAATGTGTACCCAACTGTGCCTCTGTCGCATGGCACCAATATGAAGGAGACTAACGAAATTATGCACCAAACTACCATAAGTACTGCTGCAACATTTGTGCTGACTTCAAAGTCATTGGACTCCTAATGGGTATGCAAGGAGGCTTCATAGAATATTGCTGTTGCTTGTTCTTATGTGACAGGAGAGCAACTCAACAGTACTACACAAACGATAAGTGGACGGAGTATGCTGCAGGGATATTTTAAGTTCATTTGCCACGTACATGCACACCGTACAAGTTGTTATTCAATACATTTACCTAAAATTCGTACTATCTAGACTGGACATTACTGAAAATAATCATTATCTTATAACTTTAACTTGACGTGCTAGGTAACATCGGAATACATTTATACTATCAGTGGAGTATATACTCTAAGGCATTTCTGTTATGAAAAAATATTTTTTTGAACATTGTAATTAGAACAATAGGAAGATACTGGTGGACAACAGCTACGTGTATGACATTTAAGAACTTCACGTCAGCTCTGTTGTGGATGTTCCGCAAAGCGCTGCAGCGCTCTATTGGGGTACTCAGGGTTCCAGGATGTTCATTTTATTTAGTTGTTCCGAGATCAATATAAATTTTTCGCACATTCAATCAATAATAAATCTAATCAATACAACGTCCATTGTAATCACTCACGTACTGCCGACACTCAAGCAAGCTGTCGATGCCCCTCCCATTGAAGGTATTGGGCAAGGAGCGCTTCGCTGTAGTGGTCATCCACTCTCTTCTCCCCCACGTGACTGTGCAGCGAGCGGAAGTTAGTACTCACTATGGACAAGGTTGCTTTAGGCACCAGAGCTTCGATACCTAGCTGTTGCAACTTGATGCTCGTCGCCTTTGTCGCATGTGAGGACATGCGTTGTCTTGCAACAGAAGGATTTGAGCCTCATTGGACACATTTTCTGTGCTCTTCGATCACCTTTGCAATCGTTTAGAGGGGACATCGGTGGTAACCGTTTAATTGTCTTGCAGCAGTTCCAAGTAGATGACTCATCAGCGATCCCACCAGACCGACAGCATCGACAACATGCTATGTAGTTCATCTTTAGAGAATTGTACTGGCGTTTCATCTGCTGCGATCCGTTGACGCTTCCTGCTATGGCTGATATGCAGAACCCACTTCTCGTCTCCACTAGCGGCATTGTCCAGCCATCGATGATTGTGTGTGTGAGTCATAATTAAAGGTGCGATGACACAGCGGTTCGAAATCTGATCACCAGTCAGTTTGTGTGGTCACAGTTATCTGAGCTTTAGATCCAATCCAGATTGGCGCTGATGGCGACGAACGGTGGTTTTGGAAGGCAAAGGCTTGGAAAAACTTCACACACCTTGTATCCGGTATTCCTCCAGTGTCTTGGATGTGGCTTGCGTCCTTGACCTTCGTTTTTCTGACAACTGATAGTTCCATACTTTGAATCGATGGATCAAAAATGCCACCATACCGTAACTTGGAGCATACTTGTTTAGCATGTCACGCATATCTCGACTTGTCTCGACCACTTTGCGTCCTTGTGGGAATTATAACATGTATCCGCGACCAGCATGTTGATCAACTACCAAAATCACGGCCGTTGCTGAACTGTCAGATAATTGGACAGTGTGTTCACGCATATTAACGAATGTTCGCGAAAATTCTAAATAATTCTGGAATCACGTTGAAGCAAATTTTGATTGATTTCAGGATCACCAAATTGCTTGCTATTCTGCGTATAAGGACGAATTATCGGGGTCTCTAGAGCGTTTTAGAGTATACTCTGGGTTGCAAATTGATCAATAGACGAATATTTGTCGTTCCCAGCCCTGACTAACTCTTCTATTCTTGCGCTAAGATCGAGCCACTTGTTTCAATCAAAAATCTTGGCGATCCTGTTCGATCTCTGTTACATACAGTCAGTCAAGAGTGCGCATTTATGGTCAATGGTATATTGCGGCTAAAAGAAGCCGAAGCTTTACGGGTCCCGCCGGATGATTGGTTAGGGGTGAGCAAAATAAAGGCCCAAATAGTGAAAGAGAATAGTAAACAACTGCAAATTGTGAACTTGCGGATTACAGCGTTTCCGTCTGTTTTATGTATAATCTAAGGTTATCGTCTGTGGTTTCCTATGCTTTTCTTTTCCTGCTGCTTTTATGGGTCGTTTGGATTATCTCATATGGTGTAGTGTGGCCAGTGCACTGTCGACACGTGCTTTGAACACGGCTAACGTGGGGCTGAAATAACAGCTTTTGAGAGAGTATTCCAAGTGTGGCAAAAACGCAGCGAGAAGAAGTTTCTTCGACACTCAACTGACTGTATTGTTCTACCAATTTGAGTTGATGGCCTCAGTAGGTTGTTGTGACTCAGCTTCAGTAGGTGATGGCGGGGGTGATTAGTGTTGTTTAATATTCGGTAAACCATGATTAGGTCACCGCGCAAACGGAAATAACGTCCACTGAAAATGCCAAGCACTCTGAGGGGCTGTTCGTATGACAAGTGGCGCAACCCCTTGACCTTTTTGGTCGCCCGATGTTGTGGAAACTTCAAGACCGTCAGATCCCGCTTTAGCCATGGGTGCCATGCTTGAATTGCATACTTAACAGGTGGGCGTGTAAAAGCGGGAAGTATTTGGCGGAAAATCGACGATTCGAGTTGCCCGAAAGCTCTCCGTAAAAGTCCCACGATTTGGATTCCCTTCTTCTATGTCTTGTTGGACTGCACCGAGCAGCCGAGATCTTCCTAGACCAACAAACCGAGATCCTTCTCGAGAGAACGGTGTAGCAGATCCTGGTCTCCCAGCTTACATGTGTGAACCATTCGGTGTCTTAAATGGAACACCCGACATTTAGGCACTTTAAAAAAGGCGATTTTTGACCGACCATCCATAACTCTTGCCAAGGTCGATTTGAAGCTGGATACGATCTTCTGGAGCTCTGCTCACTCGCCAAACTTTGATGTCATTGGTGTAGAGTAAACAGTTTGGGGCAATTTGATTCACTAGATCGTTTATTAAGACCAAGAATAGACGGGGCCCCAATACCAAACTCTTTGGCACCCCGCATTCGACCTGAATTCGGTCTGATATGGATTCATGTACTCACCTCCAGACGCCTGTGCGAGAGCACTTTGTAGATCCACCCGAGGAGAGGGTCCCCAATGCCACATACTTGAATTTTGACAAGAAGGATACTATGGTCCAACCGGGCGAATGCTTTAGAGAAATCAAGGTAAGCCACATCAACTCCTGCACCAGCGTCCATAGTTTCGGTCCAGCTGTCTCGTGCTAACAATAGATTGATTGTGCACGACCGATTCTGGCGGAACCCGTATTGCTGCTGGGCAATGTAACTAAAGCCGTCCAGAAAATGACTTGATTGTGTCGGCAGTGATAGCCTCCATAACTTTTGAAAGAACTGGAAGTAGTCACTCGTCGATAATTAGCTGGGTCGGATCGACTACCCCTTTGTAAATATTAGTTCTTTTTCCGTGTTTCCACATTGAAGGAACGTGCTGCTCGTCAACGCAGTGCTGGAACAGCCGCGCTAAGAGTTCAGCCAAAATAGTAGCCGCCACAGCAAGCATCTTTGGGCGGATGTCGTCAATTCCTGGACAAGTGTGCTGTCGCATGGATAGCAGCTTTCTCTTCACGATGTCTACCGTAAAATTTATGTGTGAGTCCTGGTATGGGCACCATAGATTCCAACAATTCAGGAGACCACAGGATGCAATGAAACGTTGGTGCATATTGTTGTTGCAGAACATTCCACGCTTCTTTAATAGTCCGTGTTAAACTATCCGCTGTTTGAAGAGGGGGAAATCCAATTTTCACCTTGCCGAGGCTGTTCACATGCTTGTACAGAAGCTTAGGATTTGAAGTTTATCGCTCGGCTAAGACATGTTGATAAGCTACTTTGTGCTTGCGCACTAATTGGGTACGGTGGACAACGTATACCTTCCAGGTCATCATCAACAGCAGTACATCAGCCATGTGAACTGATGCTTCGCTGCCATACAACCATCAGGACCTATGAAATAGAGAATAAGAAGAGGGAGAGAAGGGGACTTACCTGAAAACCTTAATGCCCTAACAAACATTCTGGGTCAAGGCGCCTACACCTTGTGTAGACAACATACTGTCACAAACAGCTGGCTATCGTGCTAAGATAAGGCGGCATCGGCGAGACAGCTTCCTTGCTGCTTTCACTGCCACGCGTCATAATCAGCCATTACCCCGCAGATAACTCAGCACCAGACACACTTTAAACAGGCAATCCGAATAGGAGACGGCAGCAGACGCGCCACTGGTGTCTACTGCGAGCCATGTCCCGTAAAGTCTCGAGCCAAGCACAAGGCGAGTCACATGGACTCCAGCCCGGAAGGCGAGACGGACCAATGGGACCCAATTTGGTCATCAGTGTCTTCATTTCCCGCTGCCAAGTCAACTTCTGTCCACATCGAGCCTTGCGCCACCCTACACCTGGCAGACTAAACAAGGTCCTCCTAGGTAAGCGGTAACCAGGCATACGTAACACGTGCCCGAGCCAACGCAACTTATTCAGTGCTATATCTTATTCTAGTGAGCTGGCATGATTATCACT